ATCATGTGGGGCTTGCAATCATCCTGCCTCTGCCACCCAAGAGCTGGGATTCCAGGCAGATGCGACCACATCCAGTTTCAGATCATACTCTAGATACTGCAGTGACTGCTGGTGGAGGTAGCAGGGGTGAAAGGGGGTTATGTGTAAGGAGACAAGTCAGGAGAGGAGACAAGCCAGGAGATGAGACAAACTATGCCAGTGCCTCTGCCTAGTGTGACCACACAGGCATGGGCAGAATTTTGATGAGCTAGACACAGGAAGTGGTTTAGAACAGCACTGAGGGTGTCTTCAGGTTTGGGGCTTCAGCCAACCATAAGGCTGGCAGTAACATTTACATTGCTGACAGTAGCAGGCTACCATATATGAGCACTCAGCACAAGCTAGGCATACCCAGCAGCTCTGCCAAGGTACTCACTAGCACTAGCACTGCCACTCTGTCCTGGTCTCAAGTAACCCTGCTAGAAAGGTCACAGCAAGGAAAGTCTAACACTGAGGGGTTCAATGATATTCCCAAGCACATAAGCAGAAGTGGGAGCTTAGATGTCAGATTGGAATCTTGGCCTGAAATGACTGCTATATTGCCTCTTAGTGCAGCAAACCAACCCATGAGCAGGATGATTAGAAAGCCCTGTTGGATAGCCCTGATCAAGGACAGATCCAGGAAAGACTAAGTCTTCAACAAATGTTTGTCAAGCAAATAAATGAGCTAAAATGTTGTGAATTCAGAGATGCTACATAGTCTTTCAAATAGAGATTCCACTAAAATTCCTTCCAATGCTTAATAGATTTTCCTAGAAAAACAAAAAGAACCAACCTAGGAGATCTTAGGAGACTCTTAGCTAAGAAAACTCTTCCAGGTGGTAACTTGTCTATCATGGCCTCCAGAAACTTTGAGAAAGTTCCAGTGTACCCAAGGAGTTACCATCTATCTTCCTTATCTCTTCCATTTAAATGACCAGCCAACACTTGGCTCACATTAAAAAGTTCCTTTGTGCTTACGTGTATAATAACAGCTTACCTGCTCTCCAGTGTGAAAACTGTTTTACAAGTGAATTATTTTTTATTTTTATTTATTTATTTATTTTTGAGACAGGGTCTCCCTGTAGCCCCAGCTGGTTTGGAACTCAATATGTAGACCAGGCTGGCCTTGAACTCACAGAGATCTGCCTGTCTGTTCCTTCAGGGTGCTGGGAATAAAGGCGTGTGCCACCTGCCCCTCGAATTATTTATTAATATTTTATTCATTATTTTTATTATGTGTATGAGTGTATTGCCTACATGCATGTATGTAAACCCAATGCCCAAAGAGGCCAGAAGAGGGCATCAGATCCCCTGA